AAATAGTTTCCCCACCCATCTGAAAAATCTGGAACTGAAATTGTCTGTATTTAGCAAAATGTCCCAGTAGAAGGGCCCCCTGTACAGCCGGATCGGTTAGAAATCAGTCCTGTGTAAAATCCTTCCCCTCTCGCCCTCAGCTGGAGCCGTGTCATGGCTCTTGTTTGATGTAGAAATTGGCAGAGCCATTGCTTTCCTGATCAGACGCTCCCTGGAGGAAATTATAATCCTCTCCATCCAGGAACTCCTCCTTCAGCTGCAGCGTAGTCACTGAACGAGAGAGAGAGAAGCATACGGGGTGTGAGGCCTTTCTGGAATATTCAGATTGCCATACTCTTCATGTTCCATTAGCTTTACAGTTAATAAGACTTCTGCATTTCTTCAGTAACTCTTAAAATCAAACCCCTCAAGTCTGAGCATTCAATTAACTTTAACTTACAAAGTGTATTATCAGTTAAGAAGTGTTCTACAAAGGAATAATACTGCATAATGGACACTGCACAGTGGACATCTTCCATGAAATGTTCAAGATAATAGTACTTATTAATTGGACTAGAATAATGAGAATTCTGCTTATAATTAAGTATTCACTTTTATGTCAGTGTTTATACAAACCATGCTGTATTTCTTGCATGGTTCCGAAATACAATCTTTATTTATTTCTATTTTTAATTTTTTTTTGAGTTGGAGTCTCACTCCTTCACCCAGGCTGGAGTGCAGTGGCATAAACATCCACGGCTAACCCAGCGTTGACCTGCTGGGCTCCAGTGATCCTTCTGCCTCAGCTTTCCAAATAGCTGGAACTACAGGAGAGTGCTACCACACCCGGCTAATTTTTTTTGTAGAGACATGGTCTAGCCAAGTTGCCCGGGTTGGTCTTGAACCCATGGGCTCATGCAATCCACTCGCCTCAGTCTCCCAAAGTGCTGGGATTACAGGCTGAGCCACCGAGCCTGATCCTTTTTTTTTTTTTGAGCCAGAGTCTCACTCTATTGCTCAGGCTGGAGTGCAGTGGCACGCTGCCGGCCACCAGAGCCACGACCTGCTGGGCTCAGGCGAACCTTGAACTCCTGGCCTCAAGTGACCCTGGCTCTCGGGTAGTTGGCATGACAGGAGCATGCATCGGCCTGTTTCCAATATTTTAAGTGGGGTTTGGGTTTCATGCGAGTCAGAATTCTTGTGACAGAGGGGCTCTTTCTAATGTATGAGCCAGGAGGAAGGAAAATACATTTTATCTTTGCTGGGCCCTAAACTAGTCTTAGGCAAAAACTTTCAGACATTTAATTATGAGATTTTCTGATTTTTTTTTTTAATAGATCCCTCATTACTGCCCCTCAGCACAATTAACCTAGTACCATCACACTGCCCTGAATCCTCTGCCTGAAGTCAATTTTTCTTCTTTTTTTCTTTCTTAGTTGGAATCTCATTCTGTCACCCAGGCTGGAGTGCAGTGGCATGCTCATAACCACTGCAGCCTATACCTGCTGGGCTCAGGTGATCCTTCCGCCTCAGCCTTCCAAGTAGCTGGAACTACAGGCATGCGCCACCACGCCCGGCTAATTTTTGATCTTTTTTTCCATTGTGTCCAGCCTGAAGCCTATTTTTACCCCCTGAGAACTTCTCCCTTCAAAAACTTACTTCCTGGCCAGGCGCAGTGGCTTACACCTATAATCCCAGCACTTTGGGAGGCCAAGGTGAGAGGATTCCTTGAGCCCACAGGTTCGAGACCAACCTGGGCAACTTGGCAAGACCTCATCTCTGCAATAAAATTTAAAAAATTAGCTGGGCATGGTAGGGCATGCCTGTAGTTCCAGCTACTTGGAAGGTTGAGGCGTAAGGATCGCCAGAGCCCAGCATGTAGAAGCTAGGGTGGCCTTGAGTGTGCCACTGCACTCCAGCCTGGGCAACCGAGTGAGATTCCAACACAAAGAAAAGAAAAAAAATGCCAGACTTGGTGGCTCAGTCTGTAATCCTAGCACTTTGGGAGGCCAAGGTGAGTGGATTGCCTGAGCCCACGTCTCTACACTAAACACAAAATTAGCTGGGTGTGGTTGCACGTGCCTGTAGTTCTGGCTACTTGGAAGCCTGAGGCAGTAGGATCGCCAGAGTCCAGCAGATAGAAGAAGCTAGGGTGGCCATGAGCGTGCCACTGTACTCCAGCCTGAGAGACAGAGGGAGACTCCAACTCAAAAAATAATAATAATAATAATAATAATCAGCTTAGAAGAATTAAGTAGGAAGAGTATCTGGATGGGCAGTAGGCCATTCAAGTTCTTCACGCAACAACACTAAAATGTCTACAATGCTTTTTTTTGAGTCTGGGTCTCACTGGAGTACTGCGGCACAATTACAGCTACTGCAGCCTAGACCTGCTGTGCTCAGTAGGTCAATCCTTCTGCCTCAGCCTTCCAAGGATTACAAGTGTGAGTCACCACACCCGGCTATGGCTACAACTTTTATTATTTTTATTTTTTTTTTAGTTGAAGTCTTACTCTGTCGCCCAGACTGGAGTGCAGTGGCCGCTTCTGGCCACCGCAGCCTCGACCTGCTGGGCTCCGACGATCCTTCCGCCTCAGCCTTCCAAGTAGCTGGAGCTACAGGCACATGCTACCATACCCAGCTAATTATTACTATTTTTTTTATTGTAGAGATGAGGTCTTGCCAAGTTGCCCAGACGGGTCTCGAACCCGCGGGCTCAGGCAATCCACTCACCTCAGCCTCCCAAAGGTGCAGGATTACAGGCTGAGCCACCGAGCCTGGCTTGTCAATGTACTCTTAAAGGATGCTCTGCGCTCCCATGCCCTGGCCAGAGACTGTCAACAGCCAGTGGGCTGTCCTGGTCAACACGCCCACTTACCCATGTGCTCTGATTCTCCATGTTGATGGTGGGGATGTTGGTTCGGAGAAACAGGGTAGCCCAGGCATTTACCCTGACTCGGTCAAAGTCTCTATAATCCTGGAGGGGGGAAAGAAGAGGGTAGAGAGAAGCAGCTGAAGTCCCTCTGAGCCTCCCTTCTGACCCTAAGCACCCCACCCACCACCTTCCCACCAGGCGGCATCCTTAAGCGGCACCCAAAAGGATCTTCCAGCCACACCTCTCCTCTACACACAAATGCACATCATTCATTTATCTGCTAATTCGTTTGTATGTCAGGGCCTGTCCTGGATGCTGAGGACAGCAGAGACGATGGAGATCACAGTCTAGGTCAGGCCCATGGACTAAATCTGGTCCAGCACCTGCTTTTGTAAACAAAGTATCTTTGGCACCCAGCCACACCCATTCATTTTGTGCTGCAGTGGCAGATGCAAGCAGTTGCAACAGAAACCCTGTGGCCCATAAAGCTGAAAAGATTTATAATCTAGTCATGTACGGAAAAGGTGATCTAGATGACATGAAAGACGGCAGCCCAGAGTCGAGCATGACCAGTGGCATGTATGGCTTCTGAGAAAGTTCCGTGGGTGTCCAGAAAGAGAGAGGCCATTTTCAGCTTGAAAAACCGGAAAAGACCTCACTGATGGTGAAGGCTTGAAGGTTGAACAGGCATTTACACACAAGATCACAGAGGGAAAGCTGGCATTCCAGGGGGAGGAAGGAATTAGGCAAAGGCACTGGGTAAGAGAGTGACAGACATGTGACAAAGTAACGGGCCCATGAGAGAAGGTCATTTTGGCTGGAGATACACGTATACATCCACAGATGCACAAACATAACATGGCATGGCACACGGTAACAGGCATACAACTGTGCATAAAATGCAACGTCATACACACACACACGGCCCGGTTGTGACCCTGGCCTCGCCTTGTTCTCCCCACCAGGGTGGGTGACAGTGGAGACCTCCAGACCCAGGCACTGACCTCGATGAAGGTGCTGTTCCACACCCGTGCCTTCACGGTCATGTTGGTGACGACGGGGGAATCAGGAATGGGGCACTCTAGCCACACACAGCGGGCGCGGCCATTGGTGCAGGTCTGAGTTGGCCAGGGAACACAAGACATGAGACAGCCTGGCTCTCCAGGTTCTTCACGCTTCGCTCCTTACCTTTGACCCCTCCCAGGCTTTGTCTCACCCCTGTGTGACCCGAAAGGGCCTGACCTCATCCTTGCACTCACGCACAGGTCCCCTAAACCCTGACGGACACATTTTAGACATTCTTTGGGCGCTCATATAATGCCATGAAATCTGGTCTCTGCTCACGTAAATGAGACCCAGCCCCCAACACCTGCTTCTCAACCCCGCCCATGCTGAGCCTCTGTTCCTGCCAGCTGCAGCCCCGGGGGGCCACCATCCAACTTGGCCTTAACTTATTGCTAGGCCTGCTCCTCTCTCCCTCACTACAGAGGGCGCCCTGCCCACCTACAATGCCCTGCCCCATACTTGCCCCCCATCCCCTCCATGCAGTTCTGATGTCCAAGGCTTTCAGCAGTTCTGTCACCCCCAACAGGCTGAGACTCCTTGGGACAGAGTCCATGTCAGCCTTCTGGAAGCTCGCCCATCAGAGTGGGGCACCCTCTGAGGCAGGAGGTAAGTCTCCTTCAACTGTCTGGAGACTCCTGAGGGCAGCGGCCACATCACCGCATCACACTGGGGTCTGCTGGTGAAGACCCTGTCTCCCTTGCTTCGTGGGCCCTGGGGTACCACCTTGCAATGGTATGGGCGCAGTCCCCTCCAGCCCAGCCCTGGCCACTCACCAGCACAGTCTCAGACTTGGCTTTTTTGGCAGCAGCCAGAGTGATAGGCGGGGGACCCTGGCCTCCCTGGCCTCCCCCTGGGTCCAGCTGTCGCCGCCTGCGCTGTGGAGATGGTGGTCTGTCCCCAGGATCCTGGAGAGAGAAGAGGAGATTTGCTGGAAGGGCAGAGGAAGAAGTGGAGGTAGGGGTGGAGGAGGGAAAGGGAGGAGAGAGTCAGGTGTCCAACGGGTGGGAAGGGAGGAAGGGGAAGATACTGGCCTTTCTGCCTTACAGCATGAAAATGAGAAGCAATGCAAATGAGATGCAAATGAAAGAGCCCCCGATGGTGTACTTACAGAGAAAGTGAGGTTGAGAGGGTTGACAAGTTCTCCAGGTGGCCGGCAGGGCCAGGACCCATTGCCGTGGATGGTGATCTCCGTGGGGTACAGCAGCCACTTGCCATTGGCAACCTCATAGGGCCACTCAAGACCTAGGACCAGGGTCCCCAAGGTCGCCAGCCCATCCCCCGTTGGGTTCACCTGTGGACACAAGAAGAGTCATGGTCATTGTTGCCTGGAAAACCACTTCCCTTTCACCAACCACCAACCTTCCCACTCTCAGACCTCAGGAAAAAAACAAAAACAAAACAACCATCATCCTTCCTAGGAGTCTAGCCCAGGACGCCAGCAGTCCCCTTACCTGGAACTCATACTCGAGGGGGCTTCCCACATCCTCCACACTTTTCATGCCAGCCTCGCCCATCACTGTTCCTCCAAAGAAGCTTTGCAGCCGGTGATTCATGCTAGGGGTGAAAAAGATGCTGGGGTCATGGAGGACAGGAGACGGGTCCTACAGAGGGGGTGGGCTCCAAAGCTGGTTAACTATGGCTCCTTTGACATCAGACAGACCAGGTATAAACCCCCGCTCTGCCACTTAGCAGCTGTGTGGCCTCAAGCAAGTTCTTGATCCTGCCCGAGTCTCGGTTTTCTCATCTGTAAAATGGAGTTAATAGTAGCTGCTACGTCACAGGGCTGCTGTGAGAAGTCAGTGAGATAATGTATATAAAATCCTTAGCACAATGAGCTCTTAAGAAATGGTAGGAGGAGGCCGAGGTGAGTGAATTGTCTCAGCCCGTGGGTTCGAGACCCGCCTAGGCAACTTGGTGAGACCTCATCTCTACAATAAACCAAAAATTAGCCAGGCGTGGTAGTGCATGCCTATAGTTCCAATACTTGGAAGGCTGAGGCGGAAGGATTGCTGGAGCCCAGTAGGTCGAGGCTGCGGTGGCTGGGAGCGGCCACTGCACTCCCAGTCTGGGTGACAGAGTGAGACTCTAACTCAAAAAAAAAAAAAAAGAAATGGTAGGAGGGCCAGGCACAGTGGCTCATGCCTGTGATCCCAGCACCTTGGGAGGCCGAGGCAAGGGGACTGCTTGAGCCCAGGAGTTTGAGACTAGCCTGGGCCACATAGCAAGATCTCATCTCTACAAAAAAATAAAAAAATTAGCCAGGCGTGGTGGTGCATGCCTGTAGTCCCAGCTACTTGGGAAGCTGAGGCAGGAGGATCTCTTGAGCCTAGCAGTTTGAGCCTATGGTGAACCATGATTGTGCCACTACCCTCCACCCTGAGCAACAGAGTAAGACCTCCAACTCAGACAAAACAAAACAAAACAAAACAAAATGGCAGGAACCAACACCTTAGCCCAGGATGGTAGGTCCCTTCTATCTGCTTTACAGGAAAATAATAACAACGATAATGACAGTGACTGTTGTCCTTAAGGGAAGGGATGACTCAGGGGAAGAGAAGGCCTGAGGACACCTGGCCAAGAGGTATCAGAGGAGCTTGGAGATACCTCAGGGACAGGGAGGCGCTTGCTCAGGCAGAGCAGGCAAAGGGTAGGGCGGCAGGCGGTACCCACATGCTGAGCGAGGTTTGGAGTGTGTAGTCCACCAGCAGAGTCAGAGTCACGGGCAGTAGGTCATCCTGGTGACTTGACCTGGGGAAGGAATGCGGGGGTAGGAAGGAGACCCAGGACGCCGCGGCCCCGTCTGGTCCAGACTGGCTGGAGGTCACTCACGTGGAGAGCTGCAGCTGCACCTGAAGGTCCCTTGTGTGCAGGGTCACCCCGGCGACCTCGAAGGCGATGAGCAGCTCCATCTGCCACGAGGGTCAGGAGGCAGAGAGGGGTGTTTGGGGCCCGGCAGGATGATGTCACGGGGAGGCGGGGACAGAACAACACTCCAGAGACTTGGTTTTCTGGCCTCCTCCTCCTTCCGTTCTGGGCGAGGGGTCTCCCATTCCCCCCTCTTCTCTATCGGGTCACATCTCTGCTACTTTTGAGCTACATGACCCTGAGCCAGCTACTAACATCTTCTGTGTTTCCTGTCCTGTAAAATGGACTCTACCTTCTCAGAAGGTTGTGAGGATTACATCATATAAAATAAGCACAGCGCTGGGCTCAGGGCCCGGCACATAGTTGGCACTTGGTAAAAGTGGTTTCCTCACCCCCACCTGCTCTAGTTTTGTGCAGAGCTCCCTAGGGCCCCATTTTTCTTAGTCTCTGGGCCTCTTTCCACCCCTTACTGGATCTCGCCCTTCCCCACGCTAGCCTTTGTTTCAAGGAAGCCCAGGAGGCAGACGGGCAGAAGAAAAAAGGATAAGGAGTTCATTGGAGGAGCAGTCTGGGACCCACAGGACTGGGAGGGTGCAGTCAGTGCTCACCCTCTGGTTCTGTTTGAAGGGGTTCCCCAGCTCACAGAGGATTTCGCTCTCATTAGCATGGCAGGCCCCAGACTGAGGAAAGATGGCGGATAAGGTCAGCCGTTGGCTCAGAGTAGGGCTTGTCCCCTCTCCCCTGTGTGCAGGACCAGAAGCCCCAGAGGCTTGAGAAAGGGGCTCCCCAAGCAGCAGAGCTGCTGCAGGCACCCGAGGAGGCCCAGCCCAGAGTAGGGGTCAGATGGGAAACAACAGCACGGGAACATGACGTGCATATGGCCTGCAAGAAGCCGGTGGAGTCCCACTTGGGCACTGAGGCTGGCAGCGGGCACTCACAGGGCGCACGAAGGAAAATAGCAGGCTGGAGGGCATTGCCAGGGTGAGCAGCGCCTCGTGGGCGTCTTCCCCGGCCCGCACAGAGGTCCGGGCGTTGGTCACGTTGATGCTCAGGAGAAGCTTCCGGACGTCTCTGCTGTACTGGAGTCTGGGAGGAGGAGCCCTGCACTCAGCCAAAAGCCCACTTCAGGGTCCTCCCTAGGTCAGCTAGGCGCCACCCCTGGGATCCCCCAGGAGGAAAAGCCCCCTCTCGGGACAACCAGGCTCCACCCTCTAGTCACCTGGAGGAAATGTCTGTTTTCTGGCCAACCCACCTGGCTCAAAACCCACCCCTCAAGGGCCACGAGGCCCCGCCCCTCAACCATTCTAGCCAACGAAGCCCCGCCCCTCCCCTGAACAATCAGCCAATCAGGCAGCCCAGATCCCACCTGGTCAGCCTCTGCAGGTGCTCCGACACGAAGGCCGCCCGCATCTGCAAGTTGCTGTGGCACTGGTTGTCCGACCCGCATTCCTTCTGGAACTGGACCTGAGGGTAGTGGTTGGAAGCATGGGCATCCGCACTACCCATAGTGTCCTCCCAGCCCCCGCCCTTCCGGCTCAGCCCGGGCCCCAGCCCCCCCACCTCAGTGTGGTTCTCCTGAGCCTGCGCCTGGTTGAGGACCGGGTAGGCGTCCAGGGACCGCAGCCCCAGTCGGGGGCGATCGGGCATCCGCGAAGGTAAAGAGTAGTTCATGGAGATGATGATGGGGCGGAGTTTGTCACGGACGTTGTCCTGGGGAGGGAGGTCGAACTAAGCCCAGCCCTTCACCGTCCCCACACTGTCCCTCCACCCTCCCACTCTCCCTGCCGCCACCCAGTTGAATCTTCACACCACCCTGAACCCCAGAGAGAAGCTGGGGCCCGCTCCACTCTGCAAACCTGCCACTGAGGCTGAACTCTCTCTAGTCTGATCACTAAATTGAAATTCCTACCCTCCCGACCCCCCCCAGAGCAGAGATAGGGCTCTGATCTCCAGGGAGGGTGTTGGGCTTCCTCATCCCTAGGGTCTCCAGGGTGAGCTCTCCCCCTTCCACCCTGATGTCCCACAGAAGGGCCACACTCAGGGGCCCCTTCTTCCCAGAGGGAGCTCCCACACCCTTCACTTCTCTCGGTGCCCTCTGGCCCCACCCCCACCCCAAGGCTCTCCATCTCTCCTGTCGTGCGCTGGGTGCTGTGCATGGGACCCCTTGCAGACCTATGGCCTTCCAGACTGACTTCCCCGACCCCAGTCCCTCACCCTTGACCTGGAAGGACACTAGCCACATCCTCGAGGGACGCTGAAGCCCTCATACCGCCCCTTGCTCCTCTCTCACCATCAGGAGCAGCTCCAGCTTCTGGCAGCTTGTCTCAGGCATGGAGAAGAAGCCGTGGAGGACAGCGGACTGGCTGCGGGCGAAGCGGAGCCGGGGTGGGCGGCGGTCATGGTCGGCCTCCAGGGTGTAGGCCAGGGCTGCAGGCAGGCAAGGTCGTCAGCAAGTGGCCGGTAAGCACGCTCCCCCTCACCCTGCACCCCAGCACTCACTGATGTTTCGCCTGTAGTTGGGGTTCCCGGCACTCTGGTTGTAAGCAAAGCACAGCTCCACCTGCACACTGGGGGATGTAGAGGAAGGCCCGGTCACAGGGGGACACACATATCCAGGCCCTAGCTCTCGCCCCTGGAATGGGCAAAGGGAAACCAGGACCCTTCTGGAGAAAGGAGCGGCAAAACCGGGCATCCACAACACAAAGCTGGTCTGTGGTCCCTGGCCCCTTCTCTCTCATTCCATTAGAGCCATAGAAAACAGGGTTAGAGGTCACAATCACCAATGGGGAAACTGAGGCGAAGAGAGCAGAAGGACTCGTATGAAGCTATCTGCCAATTGGTGGCCCAGCCCAGTCTTGAACCCAGGTCTTCTGATCCCAGCCCAGATCCCCTTCCATACACAGCCCCCTGCTTCCCAGCTCTGTCTCCCCTTGCCTTTTGATCCAATATCCTTGTTCACATAAAGATCTTGGGGTGATTGCCATCATTACTGTCACTTTCTTAGCAACTAACATTTTTTGAGCACTTTGGGCATGTAAGAGTGCTGTGCTAAGGGATTTTTGTACACGATCTCATTTAATTAACAATTCCATGAACTGCTTATTACTAATTCTGTTTTGTAGGCAAGGAATCCAAGATTAAGAGATTTTTTTTTTTTTTTGAGTTGGAGTCTCACTCCAGATTGGAGTGCAGTGGCCGCTCCCGGC